CTGCTGTGGCTCCGCCTTGCTGAATGCTGTATTATGGCTTTAGAGAAGGGAGTAAGTAGAGCTAGCAGTGGTGCCTCTTCTGGCAAAACAGAAATCATGGTGCATGTTATTGGTAAGGGAAAATGGAGGCATCTTGCTGTGGAAGATGGGATATCAAGAAATGGATTTGCTGAAAAAGAGGGTCCGTCTCTGGGCGATGGTCAACCTAAGCTTTCAATGTCTTTTGCTCGACAGTGCCTATTCAATGCTTTGCATTTGTTAGACTACTCCGAACTAAATCATCTAAAATACGGGTTACCGTCATCTTTCTCCTTGGAGGAAAATGAATCGGGAGACACTTTGAAGAACCCGAATCACAAGAACTTGATAGGTATTGATGCCACAGCCTCGGCAGGCAACATGGGTCACACTAATGCAAATGGAGACGCAAAAGAGCAAAAAGGAGGAGCAACAAGCCAGGAAGTAATGCAGAACTCGATATCTCACTACGAAGTTGTCCATCGCAGAGAAAACCAGATGATTAAGCAAGCTCTTCTTGCAAACCTGGCATATGTTGAACTGGAACTTGAAAACCCCACCAAGGCTTTGTTGAGTGCGATGTCTCTCTTGGAACTACCAGAATGTTCAAGAATTTTCGTCTTTCTTGGACACTTGTATGCCGCAGAGTCACTCTGTTTACTGAACAAGCCAAAAGAAGCAGCTGAGCATTTGTCGATCTATCTCTCTGGAGAAAACAATGTCGAGTTGCCCTTCAAGCAAGAGGATTTTGAGCAGCTGCAAGTGGAGAAAAGTTTGGATTCGGAGGAGTCAAATGGAGTATCATCGGCAGCAGCACAGAACAAGTCTTCTTCTAATTCTGCAGAGGAATCACAAAGCATCGCATTCCTGAAGCCAGACGAGGCACGTGGGACCCTGTATGCCAATTTCGCCGCCATGTACGCAATGCAAGGAGAGCTCGAGCGAGCCTACAATTTCGTGACGCAAGCACTGACCCTTTTCCCAGGGAATCCAGAAGCGACGTTGACAGCAGTGTACTTGGACCTATTGCTCGGGAAGTCTGAATCGGCCATTACCAGGTTAAAGCAATGTAGCCGGGTAAGGTTTGTTTCAAGCAGTGTAGTATTGAATAAATCTTGATGTTGAGCGGTTCGGCTTCATCGGGTTTGTATCGGTTTGAGTCCAGCCGGGAGGGTTTTTCACTCAGCATTCTTGTCTCCAGGTTCCCTTCGTCCGTGGATAGTTTAGCAAGGTAGATCAGCAAATTCCTGGGTAGGATTTTGTAACATATATATAGTTGACTTCAGAGAGAATAAGTTTTCGGTTTTATTCCCAGATTTAGCAGTGGGGGGTGATAGTTTGGTTGGAGGGTTTGAATTGATTGGTGCTGGCCTGAGTAGCGTTTGGGGATGGATATAATCAGGGAGAAGGTAAGGCCCTCACCATTCGAGGATTTGTAATGTTATGTGCTCTTCTTGTTGAGATTGCGAGGAGGAATGCAGCAGGAGGATGAATGTGAGAGAGAGTCAGAAGGAAAATGAACTATACAAACAGTTTTTCTTTCACATCTCATATTGTTATTTCAATGTGTATTGAGGTCCATTTTTGGGGCATTCATTGATTGCTCTCTACTCTTTACTTCGTCGCATTGTGTCTCGACTCTCGAGCATGTCTGAACTGTGCACATATTTCATCTGTTGTATTGTTGCTTGTTAGTTGGTTTCTAATTTTCCATGTTGTGCTCTCTCGGGAGGGATTTTGCTACCATGATGCTGTTGATGGGAACCGACGGATGGTCTTTGGTTCGACTGTTGCAGCCCAGTAATTTTCGCTGTTAGATGTACGAACTAGATAGTAGTTTTGTAAATATGGATGTGACTAGCCGGCTATGTGAAGTTATTGTTAGGATATGACTTGAATTTTATTTGGGTTTGTTTTGTGTTTTAGGCCTATTCTGTTTGGGTTTGGGATTGGGCTTTGTTTTGACCTTTTCCTAGTATGTTTGGGAAAAGGTGTTTTGTTTTCTGTTTGGGATTAGGAGAAGAGTTCTATAAATACTCTTCATCACCTAGTCTGTAGTAAGGTCAGTCAGGTTAGTTTGTTTGGTTTGTCCGTTCCGGAATTTGGTTTGTAACCTGTACTCTCCTCAAATTAGTGAAATTTGTCTCCTCTGCCCGTGGATTAGCTAACACACATTGTGTTAGTCAACCACGTTAAATTTGTGTTCGTCTGTTGATCTGGATTATCGATTGCACGCTTCTGTTCTGACAAGTGGTATCAGAGCCTTTGGTTGCGGTTTTGGGAATTTGGCGCTGGACTAAAGTTTTGCTTTGTGGAGTTTGGTTGGAGTTTGTTTGATAGTAAGAATGGCTGCTATCAGTATGAAGATTGAGAAGTTTACTGGAAGAAACAGTTTCAGTTTGTGGCAGATCAAGATGCAAGCACTGTTGAAACAACAGGGTTTGTGGGCTCCGTTGTCTGGAAAATCGAAGAAGGAAAGCATAGATGAAGAAGAGTGAATTACTTTAGAGGAGAAAGCTCACTCTACAATCTTGCTTTGTTTGGCTGATGACATCATCACTGAGGTTGCTACTGAGAAGACTGCTGCAGGTTTGTGGTTGAAGCTTGAAAGTCTATACATGACAAAGTCTTTAACCAACAAGTTGCATATGAAGCAACGTTTGTTCAGTTTGCGTATGGAGGAAGGTACATCTCTCAGGAATCATCTAGATCAACTCAATATTATCTTGTTAGATCTGCGGAATATTGATGTTAAAGTAGATGATGAGGATGCTGCCTTAATTCTGTTAGTATCTTTGCCACAGTCATATGAGAATTTTGTGGATTCTTTTATTGCTGGGAAAGATAGTTTGTCTTTGGAAGATGTCAGATCTGCTCTACATACTAGAGAGGTTCGACATAAGGCGTCTGGTTCAGGTTCGGAAAATCAGGCATCTGGGTTGGCTGCTACTAGTAGTAGGAGACAACAATCTGGTAATAGGAAGGCGAATACAAATTCGAATTCTGCTGGTTTGAATGATGATATTTGTCATTACTGTAAGGAGAAAGGACATTGGAAATTCGATTGTCCTAAACTGAAGAAATATCAGGAGAAGAAGGAATCATCTGCTGCTGTGGCGGAAGAAACTGACTCTGATTCTGAAGATGGTTTAGCCTTAGCAGTGAATGAGCAGGTACATCATCAGGATGTGTGGTATTTAGATACTGCAGCTGATTATCATATGTGTCCAAACATGGAGTGTTTTTCAACTTATGAGCAGATAGATGGAGGACATGTTTCTATGGCCAATGGTGCTATTTGTAAGATTGTTGGAAGAGGCTCCGTCAGGATGATGACACATGATGGTTCTGTTCGCACCTTGAACAATGTTAGGCATATTCCAGAGATGACTAAGAATCTGATATCTTTGAGTCTACTAGACAACAAGGGTTTCGGTAACAAAGGTGAAGGTGGAGTTTGACTGTCTACAAGGGTTCTAAGGTGATTTTGAAAGGTGTCAAGCGTGGTGCCTTGTATAATCTACAAGGTTCTGTTTTGACATGTTCTGTTGGTGATAAGTGCACCAAGCTGGTTCCGAATGGCAAGTCTCAACATGAGTTGGATTTGCCGAATGGTTTGAGTTGTTGACCGCCCTTAGGGGCATTTGGAGGTAGGGGAGATTCTGGTACAGCTGATTTGGAGGAGTTTGGTACGTCTGACAATTCTGATTGCATCTTAGTTTGGTGATTTGCATCGCGTTTGAGTTTGGTGATTTCGATCACATCTGGTACATCAGGCAACTTTGGTTGCGTCTGGTACATCTGGTGTTTGAGAGAGAATTCAAGTCAAGGTGGAGATTGTTAGGATATGACTTGAATTTTATTTGGGTTTGTTTTGTGTTTTAGGCCTATTCTGTTTGGGTTTGGGATTGGGCTTTGTTTTGACATTTTCCTAGTATGTTTGGGAAAAAGGTGTTTGGTTTTCTGTTTGGGATTAGGAGAAGAGTTCTATAAATACTCTTCATCACCTAGTCTGTAGTAAGGTCAGTCAGGTTAGTTTGTTTGGTTTGTCCGTTCCGAAATTTGGTTTGTAACCTGTACTCTCATCAAATTAGTGAAATTTGTCTCCTCTGCCCGTGGATTAGCCAACACACATTGTGTTAGTCAACCACGTTAAATTTGTGTTCGTCTGTTGATCTGGATTATTGATTGCACGCTTCTGTTCTGACAGTTATATGGATGGAGCTACCAAAGCAAAGTATACATATAGGCAACGGGTTTGGAGAGAAAGTAAGGCAAGGCACAAAAGCAAACAAGGGTTCTTCTCACATATGACTTCATTAGGGCGAACCTAGTAAGTCGTTGGATTTTCCATCTCTTGCCAATCTATTAATTATGTCCAAAAAAAAAAGATATGAAGTTATATGTACATAGTCGGTACTAGAGATGTATGAAGCCATGAATGTTAGGGTTTGAAAATACATGTACGATTTTGCGGTTAAACCGTAACTGCACGGTTAAAAGGTTATGTACGTTTTTAGATCAGTTGCAACGTAGAAGGTTGTCTCTATGCACATGGGTAGGCACATGCAATTCATATCTATAAGCTCTTATGACTAGCTAATTGCTTCCATCTAGGGTATTTGTTTGAGTAAAAAGTAAAAACAAATAATAACCATAAATCAATGGAAAAATAATTTGATAATATGCATATAAAGTAATATATTATTATCAACCAACCACAAGCATGCCTAATACATGTAGTACAGTTGATTTTGAACTCGACCGTTTTCATATACTTTGACAGACCCAGAATTTATTCCAACTATAATGAGTTTCTTTTCCTCGTGGACCGAAGAAACATGATCACGTCACACATGTAACTGTGGTACACAGATGTATTATTCGTGATAATAACATCGTATTATATACGTATACCATACGTACATACTCGAATCCATGAGAGTGTTTTTTTTTGTACGCATATCTTTCGTAATTGATCTTCAAGAGACGGGAGAGCAAGTGAATTGGGGTGGTGGTGCAGTATTAGTCGTCATATTGGCACAGGAGGCAAGAAGGTGACGAGCAAGAGGCACGTACGCCTTCAAATCCAAAGCCTTGACCTTAAGCGTAGCACACAGGCAATCCGCCGTCGTATTGAGGCCCACCATCCCGTCTCCTCCTAAAACAGAGCAGCACTGTTTGACCACAACTGAATCCACCGCCACTGGGCCGCCAATAACTCCGGCCCGGCCCACTCCAAGAGGCCCATTACTATCGTGGACCATCGTCACCAGCCCATCAACGCACCCCGCTCCCACCTTCATCACCCTCTCCATCGGACACCTCATCATTGTCATCGTCGTCCCTCCGGCCGCCAGCTCCGGCGCGGTGGCGGTCCCGTTGCCTCCGTGCTTATTCAACTTCCGTCCGGCCGCCGCCGCCAGGTCAGCAGCTGGGTTCTTGTGATCACAGCAACCATTGAAATTGTAGTTGGTTGACTTTATGTTGATGGTGAACTTCGTGTTGGCGCCTCTGACTCTGATGGAAGAATACCCAATGAGGTTTTCTTTTGCTTCGCTCGCGGAGGAGGTGGAGGAGGAGGAGGAGAAGGAGAACATGAAAGATGTTGTAACAAGGAGAAGAGTGGCGGTGGCTCTGAAATTTAGGGACATTTTTGTAGAAAAAAGTATGTTGAGGGTGTAAATGGGAAGAACTTATATCTTTGTAGGGTGCCATGGCTTTGGAAAGGGGAAGCATATATATAGTACAAAGAGTCGACGACTCGACGTACTTTGGTGATTAGTCGATTTGAGAAATGGACGGGAGAGTGGAATTTTGTTAAGGTAAGTATTACTATTGGGTTGATATGAGTCATGGGGAATTGTATCTTTTTGAGAAATTTGGGAGACTTTGGTAGCTCGTGTGTGCATGTCTTTCTATATCTTAGATGATTGTGCTGTTGATCCTAGCCCTAGTGATTTGAAGGGTTCTTCTCTCTCATATGCCTTACTTAGGGCAAACCTAGTAAGTTGTTGGTATCTTCGATGTTTTGCTAATGATGTTTATATTTGAAAAAGATATGAAGTTACTAAATGATTGAGGTTTGAGAGAGGGGGTGTTATACCGTTGTTTGTGGTACTTCTGTTTCAGTTTAATCGATGAATTTAGTAGTGTCGATTATTATAAGTTTTTATGAATGTATATGATGTGTCAAAACCAATTATTTGATTGGTTTTTGTGTTGTTGAATTGACGCCTTTAATTTTCAGGTTTAGAAGGAATCACATTTGTTCTTAATTGATTTGTGAGAATTTTATCAAGTAGCAAAATCTGATTTGAAGTTCATAACTTTTTTGTACTTTAGGATCAAAAGTAGCTTTATGTCTATATTGACATTGTTCATCGTACCGCTTAAATCAGACATTTGAGACTTACTTTTAATGATCCAAACGAAGATTATTATCGTTTTTTTATGATTGCTACAATTTATGAAGTGCTTAATGAAAAAAAGGGTCCACTTTTTTCACACACCACCTAATATTTTATCTTGATACAAAATATTTGGTACTATTAATTTTTCCTTCCATTTTAGCTTTAGGCGCACTGGTCTTAACTGTGACAGTCTACTCAATTCCTTATGCCTGACTTAGTAATGTCGTTACGTTGTTTCAATTGCTGATACTCCATGGTATAATTTCAAAACTTAGATCACCCTTTTCCTTTCTTTATGGACAATACGAAAATTTACATGTAGTTTCGATTGTTTTCGCTCACATAATTATTCTATGAAGAGTACGATGGTCTCCTCCTCATCTATAAAGATGAGAATCTAACATGATGATACTCTTCTCTTCAAATTTTCTTTCATTAAGACGTCAAATCAAAACCCCACACTACACCATTGCAAACAAACTAAGTCATACAACAACAAATGGTACTACACCAATACACTCCAAACATCTTCCATGCCAAATTGCCAATCCATTGAAAGTACAACCAAACCCCCTTACCATAACAATAATTCCAACAATACAAAAAAGAAGAAAAAAACCCTAGAGAGAGAAAGAGTAGAGAGAACAAACAAGAAAGCCCGACATCCTCTCATGTAAACTACTTCAATCATCCATCCATATCACTTCCTGCTATTAGCTTGCAAGCCCTGCATTATAATCATGCCAATTAGTGTTACAATATGATACTAACTACCATCTTATACCAATGTTTGAATCTAGAAAACTAAAGTAGCACTTTTAGGGATTTGAATCGTGGTGGTAGCTTTATTAGAAGCATAGTACGACATCACTAACGATTATTTTATCTTTCAGATCTGTTGCGATTTGCACGCGCATTTCTCTAAGTATCACACAAGCAAAGCGTTGGGTAATTGTTGTACAATAATTTTGTGGAAGGCAGTGGCGCGGAGGGAAAGTTTGAGGACAGGGATCCTCAAATATAGACCCCCATTTAACGAAAAATATATATTTGATACATAGATTTTAGTACGATCGTTTTTTCGTTGGTGTTAGCCGTACATAAAAATCGCAATCAACGTAAAGTCTGGCTACGCCACTAACGCTATACATACCTTTTCAAACTTCAAATGGAGCAAGTGTATCCCGGTGGAGGCGATTTGCCACAAGTGATGAGCAGCTCAAGAGCCAAAGGGACGAAGATGCTCAAGTTCAAGGCCCTGATCTTCAACGTGGTGCACAGGCAGGCCGCGGCCTCAACTTCGACAAGCCCAGCGAGCACCGGGCAGCACTTGTTCACAACTGGGCCCCCGAGCCCAATGTGGACGATCCCGCCCAGCAGATCCACGCAGGCCCCCAGCTTCAACGTGTCGATGGGGCACGTGTCCTTCTTCGCCGGCGGAGGTGGGCAGGCCGCCGGCGACGGTGACTTCCCCGACCCGCCGCCGGTCACCGGAGGGACGGTGGGGATGTTGGGAATGGGGACTTTGGGGACGGTGACCGGAGGGAGTTTGGGGAGGTGGATTGGGGGGAGCTTGATTGGGCCTGGGCCCTTGGAAGGGGATTTGGGCTTTGGGTTGGGCTTCCGGCCGCCGCAGCGGCCGCAGGAGGAGAGGATGGGAGTGGCGGAGGAGAGGAAGAGCATGAAGATTAGGAGAAGGGCGGCTGAGGATTTGGAGGAAGACTCCATTTTTGGGGATTATTGTTCTTTTTTTTTATGGGTGAATGAAGGAATGTGGAGTGGGTTTGGAGGAAGTGCATGTGTTTATATATAGTAGATTTTGGAGAGTGAAGAGGAAAAAAGGCCTATGATTTTGGATGTGAAGTAGTAGTAGGTCATCTTATGGATGAATTATGTGGTTAGTAAGTTTGATTTTTGTTATTATGAGCTTAAACTTCGCTTTATGGTGAGTTGTATGTCTTTTGTGTTACGATCGAAATGTTTTCGGTTTTTTACTCTACTCGAATTACGATCAGTATAGAGAACATGTGTCAAAGTTCGAGTTTTTTACTTTCTTTTCATTTTTCTTTGTTTGAGCTATATTACTCATAGACATTTGATACCTTGAAATAATAGTGTTGATCAACATTATAACGAAAAAGAAGAGGGAAAATGATTACAGATTATGAGTCTTGAAATAAGAATCTTCGAATTCAAGATTTAACGCCTCAACCAATCGATCATACCTGTATTGACGAATCTCCATGAGTTTAGATTTGTTATTCTCTCTCTCTTTTTTTTTTCTTCTGCTGGCTAGGTAGAAAGGAGAACCAGTTCACGTGAAGAGATAAAGGTGCTGCCAAAGTTTGCAAGTTGGCAAAATTACATTACAAATAGATGAATCCAATATGGTTTTAATGTGGGAGAATTATTTATTTATCTGATTGTATATTTCTTCAGTTGGCACTGGGGGCTACAGTACACTGTACATGTTAACTAGTATTATTTCTATTGGGTAATGCATTCAACGTAGAAAAGATTATGTATTAATATTTTCACTAAAATTGATGCCTTTTATGTGTTTAATCGAAGTAATTAATGAATTAGAAATCATGTGAGTATTATAACTATATTCTAAAGCAATAGTACTTAAATCACTTAAACAAATAAATAAAGTTTCTAAATTAACATTCCTCTAGACTCTAGTTGCAGACTAGGGATGTTTGTTAGACTAATGGAATGGCTAATTACTAAATTAATTATATACTGATGTGCTCAATAGCCACCTAAATATAATACTAAAAGCTCTCTTTATCTCTCTTAAACATGCTGTCTAAGGTTCCTGTATCTCTTAAGCATGTTGTCTAAATTAATCATCACTCATAAATTTATATTAAACCTTGTTAGAGACAAAACTAAAGTCATTATTGGCATTCTTTTTTTGGGTCAATATTATCCTTCAAGAATAAAATATCATGAAAAAATTTCAACATAATATAACAAGAGAGTGAGAGAAAATGAATAATCCTATGCATATATGGTGGCCATTCAACTATTGATTTTCTATATAAAAATGGCTACATGTATCCCTCATTCTCATTCATGAACATTTTTTTTTCCATAACTTAGGTTTAGTTGGAGTACGAGCAAATGAGATTCGAAATATGAATTTGTAAGGAAGTGGTTAAGCACCATACACGGGCATGTATAAGATCCAGCATAACCTTCTCCTAACAACTTGAGTTATTGGGACCAACTGGTTTATGACATGGTATCAGAGCTGGTTGTCCGTGAGGTCACGTGTTCAAGTCCTCACGGCCCCCAATATTAATCGTTGTCTTTCAAGCACATGGTATGGCGGGCATGTGCAAACTTCAAGCCCATGAGTCGGCTTTCGTTTGAGGGGGCGTGTAAGGAAGTGGTTAAGCACCATACACGGGCCTGTATAAGATCCAGCATAACCTTCTCCCAACAACTCGAGTTATTGGGACCAACTGGTTTATGACAGAATTCACTCATCGACAAGAATAGATCCATTTGGAACATAATTAGTACCCCCCATCATCTGCTTAACAGTTGAAGTGTAGAAGGTTGAAGAAGACAAATGTTGAACTTGCAAAGCTGAGAATTTCCCCCATCGATAAATTCATATCCGCATTTTGTAACTGAGAATACTCGATGGCCAATTTATTGATGGAAATTGAATTCGATGTAAATTTGACATATGGGGTATTACAATAAGTCAATGACTATGCTGATCTAACCAATTAGTGTGTTATTTGGGAAAAAGAAGATGTACGTAGGGTCCAAATTATACAAGTCCATGCTACCCTACAATAAGTACATACCTTCTATATTCACAATAAGTCATACCCTCAATCCAAGGGATCCAAAGCAAAAAAGCTTATCAATCGCCAAAAGGTGTTTAAAGGGCATTTTGCCTAATTGAAGCAATGAGGTTAAGGTGTCTCTTTTTTAGTCTTTTAGGCACTTTTAAGTTTACTTCTTTTTTGGACCAAATATCAGCCATTTGATGACAATAGAAATCTGCCAAATAGTCTTTTTATACAAACTCCATCTCTTTTGAGTGATAAAAGTTGAAGTGGTACTACTCCCCCACTAAGAAAGAGTAGGCCACTATCTTTGTTTATCTTTTAGCAATAATAGGTTCCTATCTTTTCTTCTTCTTGTACAAATATAATTTTTTCAACTCTTAGACTTGTCATTGGTTTGCATGAGTTTCATCTATGTCGAGACGTTCTTTAATAAAATTTACGTGTGTTTTATCTGTCACGGTAATAATTTTGTAGCTAATTGATCATCTTGGCTCCTTTGACACAACTTCTAGAGTTTGATATTCATTTGATGGACAAAAATACATACTTATCTAATGGCATTGGTAAGGGTAATGCTTCTACTCTTTTCCCAGAAAAACTATATTCGTTATATTTTATGAGCTAAATTAGCAATCATTCTTTAGAAACCAGTTCTTTTTCAATAACACGAGCTGTTGAAAGAAGCTATAAGATCCATATCTATATCAACCCCTCATATTAAAGCACACCAATCTTGCTGAAGTTGCCATGCTTGTACAAGGAATGAAGAAATTCAACCCTAAGTCAAACGCTTTGCCACCTGAGACTACGGCCAGAAAGAGAAAGATTGCGTAAGAACTTGCCCTTGGGAGGGAAACAACAGTTGGAAACGACTGCTAATATTCTGTAGGCTGGGGAGCAAAAGGAGGAATCCGTCTGAGTAGGGGGCTTACGTCTGATTAGCTAGTTTCCCGAAAGCACCAAGTGAGCTCAGATTTTTACTCGAAAACCTACTCTATTTTGTTTAACCGGAGAAAAGAGCAGGTAGCGCACGATCTCAACGATCAAGCAATAATGAAATCCTCCTCTGTCGACCTTAAGCTTAAATTGTTTAAGCCCATCATGCCTTAGCACATCAATTAAACATTAACATTGAAGATTATCAAGATCCGAAACTCTCCACCATTCGGCTAAAAATCATCTAGCATGTTAAAGACCAATTAGTACCAACCCCGAGTTATTGTTGAGAGGTTAAAACCCAAATCTTGTATCACTCATTAACATATGTACGAATATCACACCACACCACATCCATCAAGATAGAAACTTACTTGTTAGTTGTTAGATAAGAACACACCTATACACTATACCCCAGTTGGTTACCCGCCGGTTGGTAGAGAGAAGAAGAAAAAAAAGTCGTTATCTTTAAAGTATTTTAAGCTGGATTTGAGTAAATCTGTTTGCTTTTCTTCCCACTCTGCTATAATGCTTTTACAATCTAATAATCGATCTTGAAGATGAAAATTATACATGGATAGATGTGTACATCGATATAGTCAGGTCCACATGAAAGGAGACCTATCAGTGCATGTCTATGGAGATGTAGCTTTATAAAAATGGCGAGACATAATGAGGTGGATACAGAAGGGTTTGGTGCTGAATTATTGTAGATTTAGGGTTTTCATATGGCACCATATAGAGATATAGAAAAGGCCATGGGCATTGTCATGTGCAAGATCATAAGATTGATTGGTATGATCAGAGAAGATCTCGAGATATGATTTACTGATCAATATACAATGAGGTTGCGATTCTTTTTCAGAAGTTAGAAGCTATGATTATTGTTACACTGCTAGGAGGAGTAAGGTGTCACAAAAACTTGAATCGAGAAACATCCTGTTCATCGAGAACCTATATCATATGGTTTGGCGAGATAGAGAGTGAAAGGAGGAAGGGGGGTTAGAGATGGGAAGTCGAATCTCGCGTTACCTCCTTGAAAGAAAGAAAAAAAAAGATGTCCTCAACCACTAGCCACCTCACAAGATTGAAGATTGACACGGCTCCAGCATACTTAACTTTGTGCTTAAATCAATGATTAATATTAGGAGTCGCGAAGGTTCAAATATACGCAACCACTTGGCCAAAACCAACTCTGCTACGCTGTCGTAAACCATTTTGTCTCTATAATTTGACTTGTTGCAGGAGAAGCTCAATTATTGATCTTATATCAATCTCCTATATACCATGGAAAAGATTCCAGGAAGAATTCCATGATCACCATTCACGACCACCCTTCATCCCTCTCCGATTCAATATATAATAATACAGTTGTCTGCTACTACAACTCGAGCGGCTCGATACTCTGCTCGAAAAAAACTCGTTCAAAACTTGACTCATCTACTGCTATTCATAACAAGTGGTTCAAGTTGGAGGTTTGACAATTTTCGTCATATATGTGACGAGGGGCTAAAGCCGCCCAATATTGATCAAGTTAAGCCCCGTGAAAGCCATCTCGGCCCTAAAAGTGCTGCGAATTCAGGATAATAATGGGCCCGGCCCATACTGAGGATCTCTGTTAACTTGTGCCTGAAGTTCTTACGATCACGACCACATTCTTACAATTCATCAACTAAAAGACGCCAACCAACAAGGAAACAAAGAAGAAGACACATGTTTCGTGACTCCATAATTTACAAAGCGACATGCAGAGAGAGACTGCAAAAGAACCAGAAGAAAAAAGAACAGATTTACAGTAATAAATATTGACAATTTTGGAGCAAGGCCAGGCAATTTCCTTTTTATTTAATCAGACTCGTAAACTTTCAGCCATTCGCTGGCGGTGGAATCTGCATCCGAGTCCTTCTCACGAGAGATCGACTGCCTCGACCTGATGGATCCACCTCGAGAGTCGTACCCACGGTTCAGCTGGACCCATTCGGTCGAAGATCCTCCAGGCGACGGATCTCTCAGCCCGCGAGACCGGCTGCAGGTCGAGAGCCTGCCCGAAAAGACGCTGTCA